TAAAGCTGGGGGAAGAAGAAGGAAGGGGGGGACGTTTGGAGTGTTTGTCTTCCCAAGTAACCGTTACGCGTGATGGAGCCCTGCTTTCCTGGAGATGGCTGAACACCTGCCTGCCGATGGGAAGTAGGGAATGAATTCCTTGTTCTGCTTTGCTTGCATGCGTGGCTTTTGCTTTACCTATTAAACTGTCTTTATCTCAACCGACGAGTTTTCTCACTTTTACCCTTCCGATTCTCTCCCCCATCCCATCGGGGGGGGAGTGAGCAAGCGGCTGTGTGGTACTCAGTTGCCAACTGAGGTTAAACCACGACAGGGACCTACACTAAGTTGGGGGTCCTTGAGCCAAAAATAGCTGCAGGCTGGAATAGTCCTGGGGGGAGTATCAGATACACTTTCCTTCTTCTTACCTCACCCAAGACCCTCACAGTCCCTGTTGAAGAACAGCAAGATGGCCCAAATTAACCCCTGATCTGAAGTGGTACAGCCACTCTTGTCTAAGGTGGTTTTCATAGAGCTGCCAGCAGATGGGCAGGGACAAGAATTGGTTTGCATCATTTAGTGAGTCATTTTTGGCTTGCAGGAGAGCACCTTTCAGGACGTAGATGGCAAATTAGTGTAGAAGACTGTTTCTCTGGCCAGCATCTTTCCCAGGCACTGTATCTATGGGAGATGCTGGCAACAATGACAGGATTTTGCTGTAATTTCACTGATGAACACTTCAGCTGCTGCCCTTGCACCTGATTCTTAGCAGGACAGATGTATTTACTTTATATATTAATTTTTATTAATGTTAAACCTCTTCAGAGAGCAAATGAAGTTGTGACATAATACAGCTATATGCAAATTATTCCCAAACTTAAAGCAAATATGGAATTGTACCGCTATTTCACAGGAATGACCCCACAACGTAAGAGCAATTAGCTGCTGTGCATGGTTTGGAAAAGTGCTGAGCTGGAGATGCTGCCTGGCCCTCAGCATGTCTGATGCGCTCGCAGAGCTGGGAAAAGAGCCCTGGGGGTGGTGGAAGAAGCTGTGGCTGAGCTCTGAGCTGCAGGCAATGTTTCACATCCTCAGTGCCAATGTTTCATAGTTCAAACAGTTGCTCCTTTGCTTCCTTGTCATGCAGAGGGCTCAAGGCCTGGCGGAGGTAAGCCAAGCTTGCAGGAGTCCAAGTAGAACCATGCCCGAGGTAGGTCTGAGAGGGGAGCAACACCGGGGAGCCCCCGATGATTTGGAAAAAACATTCAGTGTATGTTCCCCAGCTGCTCTTCATCTCCAGGTACAGGTGCTCACTAGCCCTTAGGGCCCATCACCTCACTGCAACCTCCAGAGCAGACCACCAGCCTGGAGGACCCTCCACATCCAACTCAACAGTGAGCGCTTTTGAAACTAGTGCAAACATAATGGTGGAGACCAGTGCAGCAGGGGAAGGCATGGAGCAGCCTGGGAGCAGATCCTGCTAGAGCAGAAGGGAAATGGCAGTTTTGAAATCCCGTCTCCAAATCAAAGCTGGAAGCACTCTGTGCACTCAGCTGATTTTGGGGCTTGGTGTCTGAAGCTCCTGCCAGAAGGCAAAGCTAGCATCAAGAGCTGAGACAGCTGGTAACTGGTATGGGAGCCGTTGTGTGTGCCCACTGGTGAGACCTGCTCTGCAGTCACATCCATGGCAAAGCTGTGTCTCTTCCCTTCTCCCAGCTCCACTAACGCAACCATCGAGCGCTGCACCAGGAGACAGGCATGATGCAGCCCCCTCAGCCAGTGCCTGACATGCTGGTGGCCTCTTGGAAGAAGGGAACAAACCAACAGGAAAAAGAAGAGGAGGTGGGAGCCTTAGTTTGAGGTTTCCTTAGCTTGGCATTTCCTTATTTAATGGTGGGTCCTAGCACTGCCAGGCGTTGCTCCACTTCATTGCCCATTGAACCTGGGATTCACAACCGTGGTGGTAGCACTCTTGAAGAGGGGGTTATCAGCCTGGAGGGAGAGAGGTGAGAGGCCCGTGTTGTTGTGCTGTATTGGATTTTCAGCGGAGCATTACCCAGTCCACCCCTCCCAGTGTCAATGGTGCAGACAGCATTGGCAGAAGAGCCCACAGGTTGCTTTAGCCCCCTGCAAAATCCAGCCAGGCTGCGGAACCAGCCGGTGGGGAGGGCTCAGGTCTGCCATGGCTGCCTCTGGAGAGGATGTCCCCTCCAGGTGTCCCCACCACATGTACGTGAGCATCCCAGCACACCCCACTGCCACGGATGGGCTCTCTTACATCGTTCCACTTGGCCTTGGACTTCTCCTTCTCGAACCGGCGGTATTCCCGGCGGTCAAACAGCTCCGTCAAGAGCCGCCAGATCAGCAGGAGCACAAGGCCGATGAGGGCCACGCCGGCAATGGTGCCTCCCACGATCAGCGCGATGTTGGGAGGCTCCGGGCACTCTGTGGGGCAGACAGATGGCGTCCGGCTGCAGCCCCCGGCGAGGCGGAGAGGCCACCACGGCAGAGCCAGCAGCCTGTGTGCAGAGGGGCAGGAGGAGCAGGGCTGGGGTACCTTTTTTTCTATCGACGATGACAGTGTACATCTCCTCGCCGTCTTCCTGGACCATGCGGAAGGAGATCCAGCAGTTGTGGGAGTCCTTCTCCCTGCACTGCCTGCTCACCCCTGTCAACTGCTCAGCCACCTGGATGTTGGGGCAGGCCTGGGAGCAGTTCTTCTCAAAGGGGCCGCTCAGGAAAGCCTTGCACTCCACACAGGAGCTGCAAAACAGGCAGCCACAGCTCACCTCTGCAGGGGCAGAGGCCCTCTCACCTCGCTTTGGCCGCAGCTGGGCTCTGCCCAAGCACAGGCAGGGCTTGCCTTGCACCTGCCTGGGAGGTGGGGGAGATCCCCGCCGCCCCCCGTGCCGTCTCAACGCATGTCACTCACACATATCTGCCGCAGGGTGAGGGGCAGCCGGGGCACTCCTGGCAGAAGGGGGGCTGGTATCCCCCCCGGCACTGGCAGCGGTTGCAGTGGCAGGTCCCGCGGTGGCTGCACTCGTTGCCACGGATGTTCAAGCAGCCGTCCGTCGACTTCTTGCACTGGCAGGCGCTGCCCTGGTACTCGGGCAAGCACTTGCACTCCCCACAGTCACATCTCCCGCGGTCTGCAGAGGAAGACCTTTCAGACCAGGATCTATAGAGACCCAGGTTGCCCTCCCTCTGCCCGTGCTTGGAGAGCATCACCCACCCTGCGCTCTCCATGCCACCTTCCATGGGATGGTCGAGGCGGTCCTGCAGGCTGGTGTGGTGGGACCCAGGACCCCCAAATCCACCCACTTGGGTTTTGGCAGGGAAAGGCAGCATCTCCCTGGGGATTTGATCTTTCTAAACAGTGCCCTGGTGGAGAACACATCACGCAGGTGCATCTACCTTTGCCGCCGCAGAGGGAGCCGTTGTGAAACTCGCAGTTCATGTTGTCGCACTCACAGAAGGTGCCATAGATCTGCTTGTCGGGCACATCACTGGTGTGGCAGATGCACTGCCCACACACACAGTCCCCCAGCCCTGAGCAGATGACGGAGCTGTTGTCCTTCCGGCAGCTGCCCTCCAGCTCCTTGCTGGTCTTGCCTTTGGTTTCGCACTCACAGTTCTTCCCTGTGTAGCCTGAATTGCAGCTGCCATCAAAGGAGAGGAGTGAGCCTGGGTCAGCGGCCACAAGAAATGCTGTGGGGCGCGTGTGGGGCCCAGACCTCAGCCAAAGCAGAGCAAATCTGGGACAGCCTTGCCAAAACCCAACCATGGCATGTTGGTGCTAACTCCATGCTGGAGCAGGGCAGCTGATCAGGAGGAAACCTCAGAAACACTGCTCTCCCCGCTGGTCATATTTACAATACAAAATGGTTGCCCAGAAATTATTGTTATATTTATAATTTCCAAACCCTTGCCAAGGAGATCTGAGTGTTTCCTGAGGAAACCCAGACTTCCTCTCCCTGTCAGCGAGGGGCCATGAAGCAATAATTGCACTTAAAGACCTGCGTGAACTACAACCCTGAAGTGGGATTTTGAGAGATTTCTACAGAAATCTGTGTCTGCTCGATGGGTGGGTTGGTGGATGGTTGGATAGCTGGATGGATGGTTGGATAGTTGGATGGACGGGTGAATGGGTGGATGCCCTTAGGAAAGCAGCAGAGACTCCACCAACAGAAGAGCGAGCTCATTGTGTCCCCTGTCTCCATGAACATAAACCGCCTCTCTGAATAAGAAAATTGGTGCAAAGCTGCAGAGCCAGGCCATGACTGATCGCCACCCCTCTGCTGTACACCCCTCTGCTGAGCCCTCACCTGGTCCCATGTTCTCCAGGCACAGAGGTGCTTGGAGGAAACAAGTGCACCACGCAGCTGCCCTTGGCTTGGCCCTCTCCCAGCGGCTCTCCAGCTCTGGCAGTATTTGAAATAGTGTTTTGGGGGGACAACATGTACCTGCAGATCCCACAGATGATGCTGCCTTTCCCACTGCAGGCAGTTGGGTCGGGCTGCTCGTTGCAGTTGCAGTTGCAGTTGCTGTCCAGGTGGACGGTGAGAGTGTCTGTGAAGCCCAGCGGCCGGATGGTGAAGGACTGGCTTTTGATGCACTCCTTGGCCGTGACCTTCACTTTGAAGATGACCTAGAAAGTGCAGAGTGAGAAAGGGAAGGGCCAGAGGCCGTCAGGTAACTTCAGCAGTTGGAAGGTGGTATCGGCCCCAGGCTGAGCACACGCACATCCGGCGCAACAGAGGATTCCCCCATCACACAGCATTTTGGACACTCTTGGCATTAAATTCATGTAAACAGAAAGCCTGGAACAACAGGCTGGGTTCCTGCCGTTAAACAGGGTGGGCATCAGGAACCTTGCGAGCTGCAGGGCATTCCCAGTACGGGGGAACATACCTCATCATTGATCTTGACATTGTCGCACTGCCCTCTTGCTTCGTCCAAGATGACCTTGTCCTTACTGCATATGGAGTCATATTTGACATCCAGGACATCTGGCAGGGTGGAGTGGTCCAGGATGATCCGCGAGGAGAGGTTCTGTGGGGAAACAGTGGAGAAAGTGCCATCAATCCAAGAGGAGACCAAAGCAAGGGAGTGTGGGGTTGCAGGTCAGGGCTTCCCCCCAGCCCAGGGGATAGGGGCAGGGAGCACCCCAGGCTGGGGTCTCAGCTGCCTGGGGTGGTTCTGGAAAGGCAGGTGATAGCATTGGAGAGGCAGGAACCTCTTGCTTGTTGTGGGCAGAGGGACTCAGCATGTCCTGTCCTCAAAGCCCTGGTCCCAACTGCTCTCTGATGGTGAGGACACATGATGGGAACCTTTCCATGCTCCGAGCCCTGCGAGATAAGTGAAACACAGCCTCCTCCAGCACTTACATTGTAGGCCACCTGGATGAGTTCAATGATGTTGCTGGAGTCCTCGTTCAGCTCTCCCACTGCTGATTTTGGGATCATCTCACTGAGTTTCTGCCAACGGAGAGCAAAGAGGTAAGCGGTCCCCCCTGTGTGACCGCGGAGCAGTGGGCAGCAGCAGGAGGACACGCACAGGTGTTTCTGTCCTCCCGGGGAGGGATGAGAGGCACTTGGACCATCTGAAGTCTCCTTACCTTGTAGACATCCACCATCTTACTGGTGACAGCAAAAATGGGCTGAATGTTGTTTTCAGCAAGTTTCTGGACCAGCTGGCCAACAGACGGGTAGTCCTAGGTGGGGAGAGGGACGCTGTGCTCAGTGTAATCTCCCCCATGAGCAGAAGGGTGGACAGTTTGGGTTTCGTGGCCCAAATTATGGTGATTATGGTGACTTTGTGGTCTCAGCAACAGGCTTTTTATGTGACTTTTTTTTTTCTGCCTGGGGGAGCAAGGCTGAGGGTGCAGAGCTGCCGAGCAGCCCCTGGGTACTTACAAACTCATTGCTCTTTTTGTACATGTTGTCCTCCAAGTGGCACTGGCCATCATTGGGGGTCAGGATGGCCCCGAGCTTGCCGTCACCAGCGAAGTGGAAGCCGTCATCGGTAGCATACACCAGCAAGCGGGTCACATTGCGCCAGCCGATCAAGTCCTGCAGGTGGCACAGAGACCTGTCCCTGAGCAGGGGTAGGAGGACGGTGCCAGTGGACATGGTATGGCCCTTGCCAAAGCACGGCAAGTCTCGTGTCGGCCCTGATGTGGGGCAGGGGACACGGAGGAGGAGGGTTACAGGAGATCAGGGTCAGGAGGCTGGGGTAAGATGCTCTCTTGTACCCCCCCAGAGTAACCTGCCCTGCTGCCGAATCAGGACTTATATACGATGGGCTTCCAGAGCCCACACGGAGAGGGGCAGAGCCACCTCCTGAGGGAGGTGAGGCAGTGCATGAGAGCAGGTCGCAGCCCTCACGACTGCCCACAGCTGCCGGCAGTGGGGCGAATGCAGGGACTCACGCCGCACACCGCTGCCTGCATCATGGCATCCAGCCCCCCCTCTGGGGCATCCAGGTTCCCCGAGATAAACTGCTTCCCCACTTCACTCTCGAACTTCTTGGCGTTGTCGGTCAGTGAGAGGATGTGCTTGAAGGCGAAGGGAGGTTGGCATTGCTTGTCCTTGTTGGGGCAGGGGTTCTGCAGCTTCTCGGGGTGTGTGTTCACGAAGGGCAGCACTGTCTTGTCCACAAAGGAGCCAAACCCTAGGGCATCCAGGACCGCAGCGTCAGGGGCAGGGGCAGACAGGGACCAGCAGGAGTCCCTGCAGCACAGGGCATGGACAATCTGCTGGCCCCCATGTACATGTCCACATCCCTTGCCCCGGCACACTCTCCAGCCTGGCAGAGGACGGGTCACGCTGCCTGCTGCCTGCATCCCGCTCCAGCTCCGCAGCTCTTCCCGGCAGCAAACAGCTGTGCCAGGGTCCCGTGCCAGAGATAGGCTCACCTATGCGGCGAGAAGGGGTGGTGCTCTCCAGTGCCCTGAGCAGCTCCCCTCCCAGCTTCTTCACCTTCTCCAGGTCATCCAGCATGGAGTAGGAGAGGTCCATGAGGTAGTAGAGATCTATGGGGTATCCCATGGCCCGGCGAAACTTCACCTCAAATACAGCGGGCTGGCCTGTGGGACAGGGATGCTGGGATCAGCTGCCATGCTGTGGCTCATATCTTGCCCCATCACCCACCCCCCGCTGGGATCCTCCTCTCTTTCGGAAGAAAAGGGGAAGAAATGTGGGCTGCAACTTGCCGCCGCACCTCAGCTGAGCCTGGGGGCAAACAGAAGGGTGTTGGGAAGTCAGGCAGACCGTACCTATCCTCAGTTTCAGGTGCACCTCCTGGGGAGTCAGCTGTGTGTCATTGCTTAAGGGTCTGTTCTGTGTCCTTGTAATATCATTGCCTGGAAACTCAATCTCATTGTGTGGGCATCCCCTCTGCTGCAGCTGCTCGATGGTGTCACAGCGGATCGAGTCTGGCTCGCCGGCTTTGGTGAAACTCTGTGTGTTGCAACATCAGCAGGAAAAAATCAGAGGAGCAGGAGGTAAATGGGCTCGTTACAAGATGACCCAGCTCCCAAACCAGGTCTCCAGGGTATTGATGGAGAAAGGAAAGTTGAAGGGTCCTGTCTGTCAGATCCCTCCTGGTCCCATCCACCATGTAGGACATGAAACACTCCACAACACAGTCTCCCCCCTCCACTGCAGGCAGAGCTGGGTGGGCAGGGTGACCATCCAGCTGCCTGTTAGCTAACTGCTGGGGGCTGACAGCGTGAGAGGCTACGTGGACCTACCGGTTTCTTGCACCAGGCGCAGCCGGGACCGGACTGGATGCAGTCCTTGCATGTCCCCACCTTGATCTTGGGGCACTCCATGGCAAAAGCTGAAATGGAGAGAAGACAGAATTGGCATGGGGGGGACTCAGGGGAGGCCAGTCTGCAGCTGCAGCAGCCATGGGGTGCTTTGACACGCAGCACCGTGCACCCATGCTGTCCTGAGTCCATCCCGCCTATAAAACCCACGCTGGGGGCCCTGGCAGGGTCCTCACCTGCCTCACTGTCCCTCATCTGGGCTGGCTCAAGTTAACTCCAGATCCCGGGAAATGCAGGATCTGGCCCTTGCACGCCTCTCAATGCCATGTTCCCACCACTGTTGGGCAGCATTTGGGTCCCCCTGCTATTTCACTGCCCAGGTAAGATGCCGGGGGGAAGGCAGTGAGGAAAGGCAGGTCCAGCTCACCTGTCATCACCAGCAGCAGCACCCAGGTCACCGCTGGCAGCTGGAGGTGGCAGTCACGCGACATTTTCTGCAAGACAAAAACCATCCCTGTGACTGCCTGGTGCATGGCAGCCACAGGGAAGGTAGCTCTTGAACCCTACAGAAAGTGGCTGCAGAGGATGGTGGCCCCAGGGGGATGTACCCTTCCCGCAGCCATCCCACCGTGGGCAGAGCCTGAGAGCAGGACCCTGCTGCAGCCCCAGGAGTGGGGCAGCTGGGGCCAGGGCAGCCACCCTGGGTGTGTGGGCTGACTCAGGACAGATGCTGGCATGCTCTTACAAAAATAAGCTGGTTTCCAATAAACATAGCTTTTGGACTAAATGTGGAAGTCAGCAGAGCGGGAACTTGCACTATATCGCTATGTATTCAGCTGAACTGCTGCAAAGCTTGGTGTAGTGTTTATCCAGACTCTTTGACCTATATGATTATATCTCTGTAACATTGGAAAATCTCAAGCACTGCATTTAGTTTTTACTAGGTGTGAGTTTTTTCAGCTTCTGTGTCGAGCTATATTTGTATGGAAATTGGAATCAAAATTAACAAAAGGACCATTTCTGTTAATTAATTAGCAAGGCATGCTAGATACATGGGAAAAAAAGTCTATTACTACTTGCTTTACATTTAATTGATTCATCAAGGAAATGAAGTATTTCATTTAGTGAATTAATGTAAGTTTTCCTGTTGAGGGTTTCCAACATCACAGCATGGGTGACCGACATCCTAGGAGAGCCACAGTCCAGTCTCCGAGGGAAGCGGAGAGGCTGGCTCGCACTGTACGGTGAGGTCCAGCCTGCCTGTGTGGCAACCATCAGGCTGGCTCTTGTACAATGTGCAGGGTGAGAAAGAAGGACGGGGTGTTGGAGTCAGACCTGCATGGGGAGGGAGTCCAGGATGTGATGCCGTGGGTGGAGGCTCTGACCCTGGGGCTGGGGAGGTGGCTGCACATTTCTTACCGGCGTGCAGGGAAGGACTCCCAGCATATCGCCCAAACCCCACAAGCACTTGCTATCCTCAGTTACACCAGTGTTTCAGAGCATGATAGAAACCCTGTTCTTCACAAGCACGTTCTCACAGTGCTTGTTCTAGCTGCTCACATTACTCACTTCTTGCCTCAAAGCACATCTCCTGATCCCAGAAATTTATGCCATCCATAAAGTTGGCTAAACCGCTCTCAGGGAGTGATTTTTTCGTGTTCTTCCTGTGGTGTCAATGAGATCATGTTCATTAACACCGTCATTTCTCTTAACACCTTCCCCCCCAGCATGGCCCCGGAGCAAAACCCAACAGAGTCACGGCCTTGCAACATGGACACACATGGGGAAGTGAGAAAAGAGGAATTTGTTAAAAGAGGAAAAAGGAATAAGAAAGCATGAAGGAACAACAAACATTGCCCTTTTTAGCAATAGTAGACACAGCATCCAAAAAACAGGTCATTGGTTTTGAAATAGCTCTGACGCTGCCCCGAGCAAGAAAACAACCACTCCCTGGCTCCTGCAACTTGGCACAAAGTGCCATCACCCCCTCCTGTGAACCTGCTGAATTAACAGCTCAGAGTCAAATGGAAACGAGAAAACAAGGGAAACCTTCAAAAGGCACTGAGGCCAGGTTAGTATGTAAGGCTGCTCAGATCCCCTTCTGAGATGTCAGGACATCCTTTCTTAGCTTGTCAGCCTCTGTAAGATACCAGACAAGCAAGGGATGACACCGGCCAGCCTTGAAAGAAGGTCTGGTCTCCTCCTGAGGGCAGAAAGAAGGTCTAGGTAGGTCAATGGGTCTCATTTCAGTGACATTTGCACAGTGAGGTTTGGTGCCCAGCTGTAGTATGGACTTGGAGATGCGGCAGGACTGCTAAGCCTGGTTGCCACCATTGCTTATGGCAGGGGTCATCTGGATGTGAACGTTTGCAGCCTTGGGAACCCCACCCTGCCCTGGAGCCAGGCTCCCTGGCACAGCTCCAGCAGCCATTATACTGCACGGCTGCACAGGCAACAAGAGGCGCCTCTGTGGTCATCCAGTCAAACCCCCACAGTGACATGGCCCAGGAGCTCACTCTTGCTGTGTCTGGCCCAAGACCATCCTGTGGTGGGTGAACAGAGTCCTTCTTCACAAAGATGTCCTCCGCAAGTCCTTCTCCACCACCACAGTCCAACTTAAGGGCATCGTTGATCATCACAGCTGCAACGTCCCAGCCTGCATGATCCACACTTGCCATCCTTAGCTGGCCAAACACATTTTTGTCACCTCAGATTCTGCCAGCACTGTTTAAGCTTGCAGACAACAGGTAAAAACTCTTAAAGTATAAATAAAGAAAAAGGTCTTAACTGTAAAAGCTCTTGACAAGGCGGGGTGGACACCAGATCCCCTCTTGGACCCTCCTGGGTGCACCTTGCTGGGAAATGACTTTGATCACTCATTTGGGCTGTGGCACCCTGTGCCCCGGACCTGTGCGAGCCCAACCTGAGAGGTCCTCCAGGAGCAACATCACACTCCGAGGCACAGCTAGCTCCTTCATGACCACATTTGCTGTACTCTTAGTTGTATTCACACTCTTCATTTGTTATTGATCGCTGCTTGTGTCTGCTTTGCCGCACATGTCTAGTTAATCTAGTTAATTAGACCCTGGGGATGCTGAAAACAGTGTGAGCTCATATTTCTGCAACCCCTCAGAAAAACAGGGCCAGGGAAACAGGCTCTTGCCCAGCAAGAGCTGCTGCTGCTGGCAGGAGGGAAGAGCTGCTCTCGCCCTTGTTTCCTGTAGCACTCAGCTGATCGACACCCCAAATGTGCCTAATTAGGCTCCAGCTCTTCTACAAGCTAGAACTTCCCACACAGGCTGTAAGGACCAAACCCACCAGCTCTATGAGCTCCTGCCATCCCACCTGCCCAATGTTTCCAAGTGTTTAATTCCTGCTGCCAGGCCAAGGCGTGGGGCAGTGATGGGGTGGACCGAGGCTCTGCGAGCTCCTCAACCTTGCTGGAGGTTAGAGGTTCCTGCTTACAGGCTCATCTCATAAAATAGAGCAAGTTTCCAATTAAAACTGGATTAAAAAAAGCTCCCAATCCCCAGAAATAAAGTGGGAACCTCAACACATGCCCAGCTCTGGCTGCTATTGAGCTTTGTAACATAGGGTTCATTTTGTGGACTGGATTTGGATGCCTTTCTAACCCCCGAAGTCGTTTCTTTCACAAGAATGTAAAGCACACCCTGATACTAGGGGAGAGCAGCAGAAGAAAGCTCACCACTTCTTTTCTTCTGCTGTGGAGGGAAATTATTCAGTGGTATGTGGGTGGATGAGTGTATATGTGACGTAGCGTGACTTTCAAAGAGAACAAATGGGGCTTCTGCTTTTGTCTGCCTCCTTACAGTGTTCAAGGGAGGGGAAAGCAGGTTTTCGGTCTGACTCTGCATTAGCAGGGCCCAGACATGGGCCTCAACAGCATTTTCTCCAAACTCCTTAGTGATCCCTTTGGCTCAGTCCCGGACTTGCACTGCCACCGCCAGCCCTAGGTGCTCTTCTTCTGGGTGTGCTCTGCCTAGGATGTTGGTTGTTTTTTCCTCTTTTTCATAAATTAAGGCAAGCAGAGGGATGCACACAGTCCATTCTCGTGCCCTGGTCTGCAGGAGCAGAACTGCAGAGCTTTGCAACCACCTTCATCCCAGGGTGGGGAGTGGGGTGCCAAGACTGAGCGCCCTGGCTAGGGGCGGGGCACGTTGCCACCAGGCTCTGCTCCCTGGCCAGTGCTGCATGGTGGCATCAGGGGGAGAAGGCTGCACCCCAGGACCAGGGTCTTCCTTGGCCCTGAGCTCTGATCTTCTCGCCACATGCCTCGGACAGCTCGGGACCAGGGCTCTGCTTCACCAGGCCCTTTGCAGAAGCCACCAGGGTATTCCATCTATGGAGCATCTCTCGCTTGCTGTATGTTATATACCTGGCATGGCTCAGGCAGGGCAAGATGCTCCTGAAGGGTCTGCAAGCCAGAAAATGTGAAGGTGGCCTTGGGGAAGGTGCATGAGGAAAGGGCTGGGTGCTGTCCTGTGTGTGGGCAGGGAGCAGAGCTGGGGCATGCCAGCCTCTCAGGGTGCTGGGCATGCTGGGGGGTGTTGGTGGGATGGAGCAGGCTGCTGTGCAGCATGGAGGAGCGAGTTGGGATTTATAAATAGGGCTGAAGGGGAAGTGTTGATACTAGCGGTGATCTCGTCGCTATAAATAAGACGAGTGGTCAACAGCAGAGACGGGTCTTGTGGTCTGTTAGATACAAGTCCCCTTCAGTGCTTTGCTAAATATCTGTTTTCTTGCAAAATGGGAGGACGTGCTCTCATGCCCAGTATCCTGGGAGGACTCCTGGACTGTTGGCACCATCCGCCTGCAACGGTGAGGTGCCACTAGTGTCAGTGCTTGTGCCTTGGTGCCCCTGGGTGCTTCCTCCATGCTCCCAAGCATCCCTGGTGCCACGTCACCATCATGCTGTTGACAGACAACGGGTATAGCAGTCAGCAGCACTGCTCCTTTCCCCCCTGACTCTGGGTGGCCCCAGACCCCATACACGGGTGGTAAACAAGCAGAGCAGAGTACAGCAAGGACAGGAGAGCGGATGTCACTTGGCTTGTGGCCATTTCTTCCATAACTTGGTTGTGTGATGCGGATAGTTCCCATGAAGGCAGATGGCCATACGCAGGGCTGCCCACTGGCTAAGACCCCCTCTGTGCAGAGTATCACACTCAATGTGTGTGTATACGTATTTTTATACATATATATATATTTTTATAGATATAAAAATTATAGAAAAAATAAAATATATATAAATAAAAATATATAAAAGTATTTTATACTTATATTAAAAAAAGAATATATATCTATTTCTATGTCCTATTATAGGAAATATGTATACATTTTATATATATTTCCTTCCAGCAGCCTCCAGTGCCTGCAGGGGACGGGTGTGTGGGATGACCACTCTGCCATGTGCACCAAGCGCCTGGCCCATGCTGTCCCTTGGCTCTGAGTGCCAAGGTCCTTGGGTGCCCGTGGGACCCTTGCCCTGCCCTGGGAGGCTGGGGGTTTGTGCTGTTGGGTCTCCGTGGGTCAGAGCTCTGCTTGGGTGAGAAGGGGCTACCCCAACAGCTGTTGTGCCCTGGGTAGTCTGGGATTTTTAAGAGCAAAGAAGCCATCTCTTGTGTCTGATGTCCAGTGGGCATCACCCCTTGTCCGATCACAGCAGGGACGCTGTGATGGCTGGTGGGTTTGCAGAGACGCAGGACAGAGTCCTCGGGCTGAGCAAGTATCTGGGGACCTGCCCAACGGCACAGCCCATCCCCTGGAGCTGGCAGACCTCATGTTTCGTGGGAGCAAAGGAGGGATCCCCTATCACCACCAGCCCTGTGGTGACTCGAGTATATCTTTCTCTGAGAAAATAAATCACCCTGCACCACGCTCTCCAGCACGCTGAGATCGCTTGTGACTGAAACAGCATTGGGATGAGGACAGAAGTGCAAAACCACCGTGTGAAGCAGGATGTGACAGCCATGACAGCAAAACGCACCATTTAAAGCCTTCCCACGCCTTGTAGAAGCCACGTACTGGTGTCTGTGCCGCTGCAGGGCGCGACACCTCTGCAAGTGTTCACTTTTCACCTGCCTGGGAGGCTGGGAGCTGGGACTGTGGTGTTGGAAAAAGCATCGAAAACAGATGCCAGGCTGCTTTCCCTGACACCTGGGCTGTGCCCTGCATCTTGTCTGCATCTGACAGCCATGGAGATTTTGGGAAGGACCTGCTCTCCCCAGGGTTAGCTTACCCGCAGCGTCTGCTGCCTTCCCTGCCGCCACCAGGCGTTTTCAATGGTCATCAGCAGAGTATTCGATATGTACAGCACACAGAGAGATGGAGGAGAAGAGCGAGGGTCTCACTCCTCTCCCATCTCTTCTCCCAGGCCCACAGAAGCGCAGGGACCTCCAGGAAGGTCCCTGTGCCAGCATGCCGGCAGTGGCACTGCGCCGAGCCCTACCCAGCAGCCATCCCCACTGCCCTCACGCCATGCTGCCCCTCTGGTTCCCACTTCCCCTCTGAGCTATCACATCCTGCAGCTGGTGGTGGGTGCTTGTACGGGATCCCATGAGGAAGAGGGGGGTCCCAGAAGGGGAGCCGGCACAGCCTCCAGCCCTGGCGCTTGCCTGGTGCTGCCAGCCGGGCACGCAGCCAGTGCCGCTCTCCCCAGCGCCATGTGTGAGGGTGCAGGGGGAGCATGCTGCACCCTCTCTGCTCTGCTTTCCAGGCCCGTGGGGCAGCAAGGAAGGGGTTGTGTGGGGTCTGACACCCTCCCCCCAGTGACCACCTGCAGTTGCAGGCTTAATCCTACCTCCAAAAGCAAAAACATTACAGACCAGGCAAGCTGCCTTTGCAAAGGCTGTGTAGACTGACTGCTGTGCCATGCCGCATGCGGGAGGGACACTGCGCCGAGCTCCCTGAAGCCCGGCTAAGGACTCAAGTGGCGGGAGGTTAGATCAGGAATTATAAAGCAAATTCACTGGAAACATCAGACCTATGAAACTGCCTTGTCACCCGGCTGCCTACCCCCCAAGAAAGGAAGAACAAAAGCTAAGAAAATGGAGATGCTGTACTCACCTCGCATCAAGCCCTCTCCTCTGTCCCGTGCTTGGCCTGGGATGAGGATGGTCTCAACTTCTCAAGCTTGGCTGGGAAAAGCAGCTGGACATCGGGAGCTTTGTGACGCACCCCAATCCTTCCTTCCTATTTCTGTCTTACAGTCGGCTGGGGCAGAAAGGAGGAAGTCAGAGCGGTGGCTGTGGGAGGGCGTGTTCCCCCCCAAAACCCAACCAGCCCCACTCGCGCTGGCCAAAGCCCTGCCAAATCATCCTGCCCTGCGGGGCTGGGGCTGATCTCCTCCCTGGGCTACACCGTGGGGTCTGCAGCCCTCCCACTGCACCCGGGAAAGGGACCGTACCCAAAACGTGCCCTTTTTGCCCCACTTTTAACCTTTCACAGCACCACCGGGGGCTAGCCCATTCCCCTGGTGGGCAAATAAAGCTGGTAGTGAGGGAAACTGGTTCCTCTGGGAGCTATCGGTAGCCCCTAGATGTGGAGAAGATGGGGAGCTGGCTCCCCTCAGACTCTGGGTTGGGTTCTGAAATTTTTGCGTTGGGGCTCGCTGCTGGTGTAGCGAGGCTGCCTCACTTGGCAGAGGATGCTAGCACTGTTTTCACTGTGGCACAGCTCAGGGCTGTGTGGGTTTTTTTAAGCAGGCTTCAAATTTTGTTTTGCAGGCTGCAATAACTCCTCCCAATGCACCCGTAACAGTATTTCCCTGAGCAGAGAGGAACCGGCTCCTGGCAACTATCTCTTAACCTCTTTAGGGCACTAAAGTAAAAAAAAAAGTCATTTAGAAAATGTACAGGATCGTAGATTTTTTATAAAGATAATTAATGTGAAGCTTTTGTTAATTGCTTTGTAGGTTCCTCTTCCAGCAAGCTAATGTTGAGTGACCGTGATGCATTATAAGACACCAATGCAGTTCACCTGCTGCTGTCTTACAGTTATGGAGCTGGGTTTATTTTTGCAGCAAGCAAAGAGAATCGCAGCGCTAGCAGCAAATTTCTGAGCCCTGATGAATGCTCCATGGGTTAATGTTTTTATTAAAGAAGACAACAGAGATCTGGGCTGGTTTCACCACAGCCAGGCGCTGGATGTAGCTAGAGAGCATCATAGCAATGCTTGCAGTGGGATGGGAGTGTCGGAGCAGCTCTCACCTGGCTGGTGCAGGATATGGTAGGGATGGAGCCCAAGACTGAGCCTGCTGGGAGCTGGAGTGCCCACCCCAGCTTGCTCGGAAAGGCCAGGTGGCTGCAGCTGGATGCTGCAGAGCAGCCCCCAGCCCCGGAGCAGGTGGGCTAGGGCAGATGAAGCTGGGAAAGCTGGTGGGGCTTCCTGCCAGCATTGCTGGTTGCAAATTTGGGGGAAGGAAGTGTGCTCGAGTGAGATGAGCTGCTGTAATTCTTCCTTTTGTATTGCACGAGGCCCTTATCGGGCTGCTCTTTCCTCTTCGATTATTTCATTGGGTTTGTCAAACTGCTCTGCTCCCACTGACAAAAAGTTGAAGGAAGGGGGTGGCAGAGCTGGGAGCCTCCTGAGCTGGAGCAGCAGGAGCAGAACAGGTATACTGTGGGTCCTTGTAGTCCAAAGCTGAAGCTCGCTGGCGTGCTCCCAGTTCCTCCTGAGCTGTTCGTCATGTTCTCTTGCAGCTTTGGCCTTGAGTGGACATCCACAGCAAAGCATTGTCCCTAACAATTCCCAGGGGACCCTTAACACTTGTTCCCCCTGCTGCCTCCAGCATATCAGTGCTTAGCCTGGTAGCTCGTTAGTCCTGGCTATTTACTACATGTATTAGACAATGAGTAGTTACTCTTACGCTGTGTCCATGCTTTCACAACTGCACACGGGACAAGATGTCCAAGAAGAAGCAAGCCAGGGCTGGAGCAGGCAGCATTAGGATGCTGGTGTCCAACCTCTCCTGCTCGCTAACCCCCGCAGCCGGCAAAGCCCGTGCTCCTTCTGCATGGGTTTCACCTGCTTGAGGTTTTAACCTTTGATACTTCCCAGTTTGGGTACAACTTCCATTTTTTAGAGGATGTCTTTTTGTTTCTACATTTTATTTCTCCTTGCTGCTGTTTAAGCCTGCTGCAGGTGAAGGGGGTGGGCATCCTTTGGAGACATGTACATGCTTAGTCGTAGCGCTTATGCTCCCCAACCCAACTGTAAGCATTTTAAGCTGTTAAACATGCCTTTTTCTATTTTCTTTTAACCATCTTTATTTTTATTAGTTCCCCTTTTTAATTTTTTTTTTTACTAGAGTGGACTGTTTCACCCTGCCACCAACTGTGGGACTGTTGTGGTTTTTGCAGGATGCTCTTGAGCAGCTGGGGTCAGGGGCAGGTTATCCAGCTGTGCATCCAGCTGGGCACTCTCATAGCGGTTGCTCCCCAGAGTCATTGATTTTGGTCATCAGAGATGTCATTTTGGTGCTTTGCTCCTAAATGATACTCACCCAGCCTAGAGCAGGGTAATGGAAGTTTTCCCGGTGTTATTTTCTATCCCTGACGAACATTAAATCTTCCCTGTATCCCAGCCACTGCCATACTCTGGCTGAACGAGCGGCAGGGAGCAGGGATTCGGGGAGGCTGTGGGATCTCCATCCTCAGAGATATTTTTTATTTTCAACCTTCTACTATTTGTATAGGGGTATGCTTGGTTGTGAGCAGGTGCCTAAGCTGGACGTGGCCTCTTTCCAAGCAGCATCACCTTCCTAGGGACCTCTCTCCGCATTTCCCCATGTCCTTGGTACCCACAAGGAAGGTCACCAGCTGTGCACTTGCCTTGCACGGCTTGCCTTGCACTCCTGCACTGCCCATGCTGATCCACACTCATCAACTCCTCAGCTGGGTGGGAGCGTCTGCCACCCTGGAGATGGAGTCATCGATGCTGGCCTTCCTGCTGGGAGTAGCTTGGCTTCGCCCAGCTTCGCTCTTCCCATCCTCTGGCACGTCCTTGCTCATCCGTCTGCAAGCCAGGGCTGAACAAGGGACCTGAGGAAAAGGAAAAAGAAACTTCAGTCAGCATAGAGAAGTATGCAGCAAGAAGTTTGCTTTGCTTTAAGAAACCAGTTACTGGTGAACACATTTGTAATTGTATTTTTGGGGTTTTTATTTTTTGAGGTTTCAAAAAAGCAGTGGAAAAATGCTACCCAGGGTAGCCCCGAAGCAAGGGTGGGGATGCAGGTCCCTGGGGCTGCTCCCCAGTGTCAGGCCCTGGGAAACACAGCTCAGAGGGGGATGGGGAGGGCAGAGAAAGGCCAGCTGGAAAATGAAGACACATTAACCATGGAGCACCCATTGGGTCTTTTTAAGAGCAAACCCACTGTGGTTTCCAAGGCTGGAGCTTTTTATTTACCTGGGGGGGAGAAGCAGCTTTGCATTTTACCCCCTTGCATGCATGGAAAGGTGCAGCTAGGGCTGAGGCTGTTTTGTTGGGGGTCTCCGCTTGGGTCCATGACTGCACAAACACATGCTCGGGCTCCACTGAGGCTCATCAGGTATTTTCTGCTGTTGCAACCATGGAAATAATTTCTGGCAGGGAGTTTGAGAGTCCAGTTTTCTGTCCTACCGTGGCATCCTGGTCCCTGGCTAGCGCTACCGAGAGGCCTCAGCTCTTCCAGGGGCTTACACCAGACTTTAACTGTGTTGCAGGATCTCTGGGTTTAACTTAAGCACACTGAACGAACACCCTCCAGCTGTCTCCAGGGGCCACCTTCGGCAGGCTGCCTGCCCTACTGCCAGCCTGAAGGTGATTAACCCCCCGGCTGCCCATTATGCCACCATTACGCTTCAGAGTTAACAGCCGCGGAGCAGGTTGGCTGGAACTGCCTCGAAGGC